TCTATGGGAAGTACCGGCACAAGATCCAGGAGCTGCGGAGGTGCGCGGGGGAGGGGAGAGCGGCCCTGCGGGAGGGAGGGACAGGGGCAACGGGGGCTCCTTTTGGGGAAGAAAGGATGGTGGGCGAGCTCTTTTTTTTTTTAAGACGGAGGTTATTCTATTTTAGCTTTATGCCCTCATGAGAAAATCTATAGAATCATAGAATTTAGGGATGGGAATGGACCTTACAGATCATCTAGTCCCAACCCCCTGCCCTGGGCAGGGACGTCTCCCCACCAGACCAGGTTGCTCAAGGCTTTATCCAGCCTGGCTTTGAACACCACCAGGGTTGGGGCATCTACTCCCTCCCTGGGCTATCTACTCCAGTGTCAACATTGGTCAGTTTAGGCCAATTGCTGCCCTGACATTCACATGTAGTTGGTACCAGCGTGGTAAAGGTTGTCTGCCAACGTGTTTGGCTTTATAAGAGATAGTTTGACTAACAAGAAAATAAAATTTTAAGTTAAGTTAATACCACGGTAAACATTTTAAGAGGTCAAATGATGATAATCACCCAGCACTGCTTTCCACCTTTGAAAACCATTGGAGCAGGTGAAGGACATTCCAACTTCTAGTCTTCTGTTGTACTGTAAAGGGCATTTGAACAGAAAATAAGTAGGCAGAATCTGATCTTGTTTCAGGTGTAAGTCCATCCGCTGGCACAGCCAAAATAGAGCAGCCCATAGCAGAATCATGGTTTTGAATTAACCTGATAAAGGTAGATCACTGTAGCAACAAAAATAAATGAAGCAAAAGACTTCATAGAATCAATCACAGTACCACAGAATGGTTTGAGTTGGAAGGGACCTTAGTGATCACCTAGTTCCACCCCCCTCCCATTGACAGGGATACCTCCCACAAGTCCAGGTTGCTCAGAGCCCCATCCAACTTGGCCTTGTTGGAATCTCGTGCCAAAAACTGAAATCCAGAGCCTTGGGTCATAGGAGATTCAGCAAATATCTAGTGCAACATCTTTAAGTTTCTTAACACTGAATTGATTGTTTCTGTTTATTGTCATAATTGAAAAATTAAAATTACCTAAAGCAAATGAAAATCTTTTACAGTTACATAAATTTACCTCCAGTTATGCTCCTGTGAGGAGCAGGGAGTTGGACTTGGATGACCCTTATGGGTCCCTTCCAACTCGAGATGTTCTGTGATTCTGTTACACTGTTAATAGTCTTTTCCAATTCAGATCCAGTCCAGATGTGTTTGAATCCCGTATGGAAAAAAGAAGTGAAGTGAAAAAGCAGCCTGTGGGATATTCCAGTCAAGGAGAGTTTGTCAGATGCATGGAGGAAAAGGCAAGGCCAATTTCCTTTGTAAATCACATACATTAAAGCTGTAATGTTACTTATATGGGATGGGCATAATGCTACAAACTTGCAGTGTTCCTGTTAGTAGGAGCCCAGAATTTCACTCTCTGTTGGCTAAAAGTATTGTTCTGTTTTCCTGTGTATTATTTTGCTGTTTTTCAGACTGTAAATTCCCTGCTTGAGGCCTTGCCTATGATTCTATGATTACCATTTTTAAATGAGTGCAAGAAAACTGTTCAGTAATATCAGATCCAAAATGCACAATAGTTTGCTTTTAACTTAACCTTTCTGGCCTTGAAATTCATAATTCACATTTAAGTTACTCATCTTACTTCACCTAATCAATCACTTATTGTATTAAAAATACACTGCAACAATCTTCAAGTATCTCAACCTGAGCTCCCACTCACTTATGTGTGGCAGGGAAGGCAAATAAATGGTGTCAAAGCATTAGCTATAAAACTAAAGAAGAATGTTTTCTTGTAGGCAGAAAGCTTGGGCATAAAGACATCAAAGGGAGGATTCACAAAGGATAAGGTAAGGAAAATGAACCGAAGTGTTAGGAGGGGACATTGTGGCAAATCAAGGATGTAGAGTAACTTGTGTTGCTGCCATTGGTGCTTCGGCCAAGAGCTCTTTGACATAAAACTGATGTTCCTTATGGTACATTTGAGTGTAAGATTTTAATTCACTGTTGGGATCGTGAAACTCCTGGTGCTCTGGGTTTTTATTACCCTGTGACATCCTGGAAGTTCCTGCCAGTTGGAGGATCTGTACTGAACAGTAAATGGAAAGGGTTAAACTGCCTTTACAGCATGGAAATACATTTCCAAAGATCAGCCAACCCAGGAACAAGAGAGTGGTTTTATTCTCTTTCACGTTCTCATAGTTTGGTAAACTCTCTGTGCAAACCTGCTGAAGAGCATGTGTTCAAGGGCTGCAGGTGAAAGGCTGCAGCTCCTCTTGCAGCTTCAGTGATCTGCACAACTGAATTAGTGTGTGCTGTGTCCTGAAAGAATCTCTGCAACTCTGCCTCAGTGTGTGAATCTACTTCTCAGCGTGTTGCTGCTGATGTTTTACTAGCTTAGTTGGCAATGAAAAGGATTAAGTCACACTGTAAATTGAATTAAGTTCCTCTAGCTTCATTTTGTTCTCTGTATTTGCATCTATTCATTCTAGATTCTTACATGAATCAGGGAACTGCCCTCATGCCAAATTCTTTATGCTTTCTCTTGCAGACACTTGATTCAATTCTTAATGTTGAGATGGTGAAAGAAAAGTCAGCAGAGGAAATAAAACAGGTGATGGATTTAAATGGAATAAAGTTTGCTTCACATCTGTGGTTGATAGTAATCTACATGTAAGGATGGAAATTTTACTTAGACTGAAAAATAAAACACAGCTATGGCTGTGTATTTATAAGAAGCCCATTCACATGCATATCCATAGTAGAAGATAAAGTTTTCTCCATCTAGGTAAGTTCTCCTAGGATGTGCCCACTTGATAAATAATACATCTGGACTGGACTTGAAACCTGTCTCTACTGTCATTCTTATTGTTGCCATTTACTGTGTAGCAGTTGAACTGACATTAGCAAGCTCCTGTCAGGTTTAAGGCCAGGTGAAGGGAAATTCTAGTAGTAGCTCATAGGATTATTGTACATCTGTTTTGCAGGAATAAAACCAAAGCTTTTGCCACCTTGTACCTTTGTTTGCATTATCTGTCACTCAGGAGCCTGTGTACTCATACTAGAGTTGGTTGGGGTAAGAGGAGGGAGTGGGTCTGCTTGATTGTTTGAAGAACAGTGTGATTCAAGTTATTCTCCCTAGTACCTGCTTGGCTTTGGAGTGTAGTCCACTTTATCTAGTTAAAGTCACATCTGTTCCACATTTCTGATGTGGCTTGGGTTGGATCTGGTATTTTATTTTCTCTGTTTCTCTTTCATTGATTAAACATTTTGCTGACAATTCTCATTAGTTATGTAGGACTGGGGCAAAACAACTGAAAAAGTCCTAAACTCTGGACTTTTACCTGTGCTTATCCATTTATTAAGAACTATGAGTTTTTATGAGGGCATTTTCATCCTGCTGTGGTGAAGAAAAAGACTATCAACACAGAGGAGCATTATGCAAAGACTTGCCTTCTGTTGAAAATGTTTTTTATATTCCTTTTTAACAAAAAACCCCCAACAAAAACCCACCCCTCAAACCCTCTAGAAATCATGAGTGTGATTGTTGAGAAAAATATACAAAGCACTTCTGACGGCTGATAAATCCTGAGCCACCTCTGAGCCCACTGCTGGTTTCTGTTACCTAGTTGAAATTTGTCATTTGGTGCCAATGGTCTGGAACCTGAGGAGAAGTGTATTGCATTAGCAGCAAAGTCAGTCAGGCCTGATTGAAAAATGACTTCTCAAGGTGCTTAAAAAGGTTAGGTGACAATTAAAGCATTTATTATTACTGCTAGATGCTGGATTTTCACTGTGACTCATCTTTGTTTCCTACAGATTTGGAATCAGTATTTTTCTGCAAAAGATACAGTTTATGCTGTTATTCCTGTAAGTAGTTCCCCTGTAGTTATGCACTTGAAAAGTCACCATGCAAAGCTTTCCTTTGCAACTCTGATTCTGTTGTTTTTAAAAGCAATTATTGCAGGAAAATGAGGTTTCAAGAACAAACTTTCTGGGTTGAGTGATCTTATTTCTTTCCAAAAATGTGTATCCCTTTTTTTTCTGAGAGGAGTCTCAATAAATCAAGTACCTTTTCTGCACACCTGGCTTGAAGTTCCAGGCTAATATTATTATGAGTATCCAATGGTCTTTGCAGGGCCCTGATGTCTGTTAAGGTAGCATTTGTGCTTTCAGAGTTATTTATTTTTTCTCAGAGTTGCTCCTTTCTTTCCCCTCTGCCCTGCAGTGTACACAGCTAACTCGAGGTTAATGTGGCACTACTGGAGCACTTGGCTAGTAACTTGCACGTGGCCAATCACTTACGACTTTCATACCTTTACAGTTATTGGCAGCACTGTCTTTTGTTGAGATTCCTTTATGTTTCCTCTGATAAGATCATATTTCTTATTCCTGATAACTTTCCCAGATGTTAATTGTTCTTAGTCTGTGTTAGGCTGAAGGAGGTTGGTTTGTTGGTTTTTTTTTGCTTTGTGGGTTTCTTTTTATTTTTTGCTTCAGAGTCATTCTGTGATCACGATCTCTTAAATCTGTCTTTTCACAGCTGTGCACAAACTCTGTGTTCCTTGAGTTCTTGAAACCTCATTTAGATCTGAGGTCTGATTTGCAATTGTATTTGGCCCTTTAAGCTGCAACTGAAGTCAGTGGGAGATTGTATTCTAAGTGTATGACATGCTGTGTGCTCTGAAAATGGCAGTGTGGGATTGGAAGTCAAGCAGCTTCATGTTTTAGTTTTCCCAACATGTGGATGTTGGGAAAATAGTTTGAATTGCACATTTACTGTAGCAGAGGGCCAAAGCCAGGGACTCCAATTAAGATGATGTAGGTCTTTCATTAGTGGGGCTGGCACTGTTCTTTGGTGCACTGTTTGAAGAGGAGTCTTGGAAGCTTTTTAAGACTTCAATGCAAACCAGATTCCAGGCACATTTAGGAAGCAGTTCATGGTGTCATCAGGTGGAAGAAAAACCTTTGCCTTTTGCCAGAGTCTTTATGTTGGCTGGAAGAAGGGCCTTGCATAATTCTCCAGTGCTCAAAAGCACACACAGAGGAATTTCTTGTTGATGAATGGCATATGTTTTCTTTCCTGAACACCTTAGAGTAGATATTAATATATGGTGCTGGGAAGAGAAGAGCAGGCAAAAGATCTGGGAGAACACAGAGAACATGTGAATGAGATTGCCAGGTTTCATCAGGGCTGACCAAATATGGCTGTGCTTTTAATATAAACCTAAGCAATAAGTATGTTATTTGAGTAAGTATCTAGGCTGCATTTTTGTACTGAAGAACAGATGACTATGATGTAAAAACCACAGTTTGGAGCCAAGGATATGTGCTCTTGCTCAGCTGTTGACACTATGTGATGCAGTGGAGCAATTACTGAAAGAGGATGTAATGTAAGCCTGAGGGATGGGGCCCCCACCTCCAGGGAATAAAGCTTTGGATCCAAGGAATTGGATGCTGCTGCACCTTGGAGACAGCATTGTTAAAATGGGATACTGATGACATTTAGGTAACTAAGAACTAAACACAGTTTTCCATGCACTCATTGTTAGCTGTTCCCACAGTGGGACCTTCTCCATATGGAAGTTGCACCCTGTATAGGTTAATGAGGTGATTGTGAACAACTCTGCATCCACATTTGTGTTATGAAAACTGAAATTCTCTTTCTCCTTCCCAAAGGCAGAGAAGTTTGATTTAATGTGGAAGAGATCCCAGAAATGTCCATCGGTACGTGTGGCAGAGACTTGCTGTGTGTGCTTGTATAGCTGTAATGTTCCTGCTCTCTAAAGCCTAATACATAAACTTTTGACCCTCCTGTATTCATGCTCATTGTATCAGCCCAACTGGTAAAATCCAGGTATCCAAATACTTGTCTTAGTGTTCAGATAAAGTAATGGCTGTTCATATGTATTAAACAGTTTGATCTAGATAGAAGAGATGTAGGGTTGAGAAAATGGGAGCATGTAATCTCCCAGGGAATGGAGACTTTACTGGGTTGATGGATTAGTCCTATATATTTCACTTGCCAAGAGCAAGATCAAATATATGTGGCTTCCCAAGCTACTTGGAGATTGGAAAGTTATTTATAGCCTTAAGTGTGTTTCTGTAGAGTGCATTGGCATTTAGTCAGGTATCCTGCATGTTTTTCTGCTCCTGTGTTTTCCTTTCTGTTGTGTGGAAAAATGAGAGAGCCTGTAGCCTGTGGAGCCAAATAGACTGTAAAACTCTAGAGAGGAGATGCTTGCTGCTTGTTCTGGAACAGCTGGTGAAATTACAGGATTGAATACTCTGAATGCTCCTCACCTTCTGTTTGACTATTTCTGCTGTTAATTTTCTAGGTGAGAAGAAAAAGTCAGAGTCTGAATATTCTCCACTGTCCTTTCCTTTCCTTTGTCTGTCACATAAAATACTGCTAAAAATATGTGTCAACACATTTGCTAATGAAATAATGCTGATAAGATAATTCTGGTTTATTGTCTGCTTTGAAGTCTTGTTCTTGCTGTCCTGTCACTTCTTGTGGGGTGAATAAACCCTTTTTTCTGTTGTGGTTCTCTCACTAAAGCATTTGTGCTGCAGACATCATTTTGTTCTGTGAAAGGGAAAATTGGTTTGGTTTTTTTTAATCATTTCTCTGCAGTTTCTATATGCTCTGCCAAGAAAAGAAGGCTATGAGTTCTTTGTGGGGCAGTGGTCAGGAACAGAATTGCACTTCACTTCCCTAATAAACGTTCAGGTGAGTGTTTGAAATAAAAAGTCCAAAGCTGGCTTAGGGTCCAGAAAAAGATAATATCAGCATATTACAATATGTGATATTTGCTAAACAGTGTAATGAACGGACTGTCTAGATTAACTTGAAAAACATTATCAGGGAAAACTGCCATTAATTAGGGGTTAATTAGTAAAGTAATTAAGACCAAATTAATTATGGGTGACTTAGTAAATGTACGGGTATTAAATGTCTAAAGGAGAATGAGGTAGAAGTCAAATAGTCTCAAAACAGAAGTAAGAGCCAAACTTTTTAGAGCTGTTTGTGCAAGTGACTTACAATAGTAGTAGATGCAGTAAGATGAAATAACTTTCTGGAAATTGTGTTGTCTTTTAAATGCAAAATGGTTCTTAGTGAAGAAGAAACCCGGCCTAACTCTGCAAATCCCTTGTTTTCTGTAAATACCAGAAATAATGAACTTTTAATTAGAACTGACCCTTAAGCCCTGAAAAGTGACTGCCTCTGTGGCAGTTAATACTCAAAGTTTTGTAACCAAGCACCCAAACCTGCCATAGAGCTGAAGTTCTTTATGGGGTATTGAAAGGTTTCTTTCTCTCCTTCAGACCCAAGGTGAAAATGCTGCTAGCCAGTTGGTCTTGTACCATTATCCTGAGCTGCAGAAGGAGAAAGGAATAGTACTAATGACAGCAGAAATGGATTCCAAGTTCTTGGTAAGAGAAATCTGCTCATTGGCTTCCTTCATTCAATACTGCAACTCCTCCCACGGTTTTGAATTAAAACCAAGTTATGGTGAAGTCTTTGAAAGACCCTGCCAAAGACTGATTTTACTAGATTTCTTTAACCTAATCTGCTAGGGAAATCTAAAAGGGAATCATCAGTCTTTGTCTGTCTGGTGATTTCAGCTCATGTATACATTTTTTCCCTTTTTAAAAATTTGGGTATTCTAGCTTTTTGTTGTAAAAAAAGAGATGCTTCTGTTTTCCTTAGTAACAGAAGTGAATTTGAATCAAAGCATTTGCTACCTGCCAGCTAGTTAAAAGAGTGTTTTGACGCTTGATACTGTTTGTCAGAGCAGGAGACCTCAACAGCTGTGCATTTGGTTTCTGCATGCCTGTGCTTTTTGCTCTGTGTGTGTGTGGACACACTCTTATTTGCATATCTGCACTAGTACAGTGCAGACTGATGGCACTGGGGATGTAGTGATGGAACAGATAACTGAAGCATCCCACCTCTAACTGACCTCCTTACACCCCTTCTCAAGCAAGGAGCGGAGTCATTGGTAACACATTTGCCCTGTTCTATCTCGGAGTAAATAATCAATCTTTACAAGTAGGTCAGCCATAAGAAGGGAAAGATGAGGACTTGGTGCAGGGATCACAAAAGACGTGTTTGACCTCTGAAGCGTATGCTCAGCAGGGGAGTAGCTAAAACACACAGTGCTGAAGTGTGTAAGTAGGTCAGGAACAAGAGAGAGGTGATTTGTTAGGAGATTTGCTGCACTAAGGTGACTTGGAATTGTGTCACTCAGTGAGCAGAACTGTGGCCTTTCAGCTGCTGAAGAGTATTTTTCAGTGGGACACTCTAATCCAGCAGCTCCTGATGGTAACAGGTTCTTTGTTTTAACTCACAGGTGGTCCATGAAGCTCAGTGCTTGGCGAACCAGGTACAGCTTTTCTACGCCACAGATCGTTCCGAGACCTATGGATTAGTGGAGACCTTCAACCACAGACCTAATGAATTTAAATACATGTCAGTTATAGCAGAGCTTGAGCAAAGTGGACTTGGAAGAGAACTGAGACCTGGTCAGGCTTCTGATAAATCATAGAGCCTGACCTGCAGGTGAAGTGAGCCAGCAGCAGGCAGGGGGTTCCTAGATGGGGTGGTCCTGTCTCTTGTGTTTTATGAATTGGGTTTGGCTACAGAAAGGCTCTGGACACATCCCGGGAGTGTGATAGTCAAGCCTGTCTGGCACTGATGCAAGATGACGACTTGGGCCATTTGAACAATTGTAACTAAGTGCCAAAATGGAGCCCAGTACTTCAGTGTGACTTCGTCAGAGAGAACCATTTTCCCTGTCCTGTAACTTCCTGCTGCATGCTGGATTGTTGAAATCTGGAATAAAGTGACAGAAGGGGAGCCACCTAATGGACTATATTGACATCAGGAAAGAGATGACAACCAGTGTTTGTTCTCAATAAATGCATTTTAAATGCCTTCCACCATTATAATTGCACGGTCCAGTGCTTTTTAATCTGTGTGGAATTCATGCAGGCTTGTCCATCCAGAAGAAATAATAGGAGCAATGGTCTAAAACAGATGCCTCTTTGTTACTTTGTGAGGTTTCTTACACAGATGTATACTGTGGCTTGAGTTTTTCTCAGGATTAAAAACCGGTGTGACTAGATTTGTTCTGGGAATTTTTGCTTCTTAATTGATTTATTAATTTTATCCTGTTGCTGTGTTTCTGCCTTTGAGATGTTATTCTTGAGCAGTAGGATATTATAAGCATGGCTTTATTTTTTTTGTATGTTTTTAATAGTGTAGAGGAATTATTGCCTGTTTTACAGAATTCATTTTTTATCAGACTGACATCCGGTCAACCAACTCCACAAATGGTATTTGAAGGGACAGAAAATAGCTCTTCTTCCCAGTTCAGGAAAGGCAGTAGTCATAATAAAAGCAAGATGGACTGGTGTAGTGACAGAGAGAGCCACCAACCAGAGAGAGCTAAGTGAAAACTCATGACCAAAATGTGTTGGCATGAATATGCAGAGCTGCTTTAACACAGCAGTGTTGGTAAGAGCCTGGCTGTACAGACTGCAGCAGCTTTGGGGTTTTAAACCTGCCTTCGACAAAAGAATCCCAAAACATTCATGCATTGAGCTTCTCTTGTTTCCATTCCCAGCAGAGGCAGTCAGCATGTCTCTGGACAAGGGCACATTGCAGCAGTGTGACATGCAGCCTGTGCGTGGGTTACCAGCATGCCACCACTGCACAGGGAGACAAGTAAACACAGGCCAGCCTGGAGCTTCCCAGGAGCAGTGCTGAAATACTTCTCATGTCTACATCAAACCCCTGGCACTAACTTGCCCTCAGCACTAATTATCTATTATGTCTGGGACACACTGTGTCCTGGCAGCCTGCTGGAGCTGGCGGGCATTCCCTCCTTTGCCAAAGAAATGGAGGCAAGAGGAGTACACAGCTTGTCACTCTGTTAGAGGAAGACAAATTTTTTGGCAGGGCAGGTATCAGATTTTCTGTTACCCTTAACCACAACCTGATACAGAGTTGTGGTTAGTAATAAAGGTTTCTTACACCATCTGTTTGCTAGTGTAGTTGTAGGACCCTGTTGCTATAAAACTCACTGTCACTCCATACTTCCATTCTTTGGACTACATGACTTTTAATAGGTACCTTCCAACCCAAACCATTCTCTGATTCTATGACATGAACACAGTTCAACTAAGCACTAAAGGTAGGCAGTATGGTTTTATTCTTGGGAGTCTATTTTAGCACGGATTCATATATGTTGGGTGTGAACTCCTGTCCATCCAGGGAATTCAAAGATGTTTTCAGAAGAGGCAAGTCTTCCCTTGGGGCTCTACTGCAAGGAGACAGTCTTGCTCCCTGGTGCTCTTTTTGTTTCTGATCATTGAGTCTGTGAGTGTGCACATAGCAGGGGAATAATCAATGAGAGGAAGTGTGGATAGGGCTGTGATAATCTGAACAGCAAATCACCTTTATTAAAGAGCACTTCTACTTCTGGTTTATAGCGTCCATGCTCCATTTATCATTTTTCCTTCACTGAACTAAGGTCTGTTTTGATTAATTATTCACTCCTTGCTTTGGAGAAGTCAAAGTTGCTGTATTAGTTTTTAATGTAGCTATAATGTAACATTCCTTGGTGAGCAATGAGCAACAGGAGTGAAATCTGTCTCTTTCTAAGCATAAAGGACCAAAGTCTCTAGTATAAGGCTGTAGCAGTCACTACCTGTAATTTTGAGAGGTGTGTTTTTCAAGCCATCGTGTGATTATTCACTTGGGATCTGTGTTGAACCTAGGGGCTGGTGAAAATAACAGGCTTGGCATGGGGAGAGAGGGTAACTGAGACTTGGGGAGAGAAGGCATCTGCGGGACTCATGTGCTGAACAGCCACTAGAGGGAAGGTTTGTCTCCTTATTCTGAGCTCCGGGCACACACACAGCTTGCCTGAGCCTGTCTGCTCGGCTTTGTGAACTCTGGGTGAGTTTTACGCTGAAAAACATTTACATGCCCAGGCTGTTCCTGGGCATCTGGTCAATAACGTGGTGGGCTGCACTGAGTTAGACCAACAGCTCTGCTAGCCTGATGTCCTAGATCCTACCTGAGCTGCCTTGGGGAGAGCATCCTCCAATAGTTTTCCAGGTCACTTTGCTTATTTCCAGTCATTTGTGGGCCAGGATCTTCCCAAGCTGAATGTGCCTGGTTTTAGTTAGCCCTCAAGTAAGCATGTTCATGGAGGAGGAGATCAAGTCTCCTGGTGGCCCCGTGTAAACTTCAGCCTGTGCAGCATCCTGCAGCAAGGACTTCACGGATGAACCAAGTGCTGTTGGACCTACCTCAGTGCTGGCTGTGGTCTGCCTCCAGCTGGAGGAGAGCCCAGGGCTGGGATGTGGCAGGAATTCCTGCTAGGAGAGGTGGAGCAAATTTTGCAGCCAGAGGCTCTTTGTTTTCAGTATCTCAAACCCCTGGCTTGCCCACTCACCCCTGCATCCTGCAGCAAGGACTTCACGGATGAACCAAGTGCTGTTGGACCTACCTCAGTGCTGGCTGTGGTCTGCCTCCAGCTGGAGGAGAGCCCAGGGCTGGGATGTGGCAGGAATTCCTGCTAGGAGAGGTGGAGCAAATTTTGCAGCCAGAGGCTCTTTGTTTTCAGTATCTCAAACCCCTGGCTTGCCCACTCACCCCTGTCCGAGATGTACCGTCAGCAGGATGAGCCTGTCCTGCTCCCAAGGGAGACACCCTGGCCTGCGGAAGGGGCAGTCACAGCAATCAAGGAAGTGCAGATTGAAGGATGATGTTCTCACCCTCACTTAAAACGCTGACTCCAGTGCTTTTCATGTGTGCTTGGCTTTTTCCCTGTGCCTTAGAAAATGGCAAGACTCCAGTGCTGTCTGATCCACAGCTGAATAAGTTCTCACTCCCTGTCTTTGGATTTGTGCAGGACATGATGGAGCAGAGAGGGGGAACTGACTGCTCCTGACACTGCATAACCGAGGCAAACTTTTCTGGGCACATCCTTTGCCTCTCTGGGAATAACCAGAGAAAACCCATTGCTCCCTTACCTGTCTCTTGTGGTCTGCACAGGCATGTAGAGTCTTTAAACCCTGCGTGGGAACAAGCATGTCCCTGGCTGCCCGTGGGGTGCTGTGCTGGCAGGGTGCTGTGCTGATGAGGTGTGTGCCATGCAGGGCATCGCGTGGCCAGGGAGAGCCTGTCCCAGTGCTGCAGCTGGTGGGGGCTTGTAGGAGGCTCACTGCACCCACCCTCACCCCCCAGTGCAGCCATGTCCTGCCAAGCCATGCAAAGCTGTATCACTGCCTTGGGCCTCTTCCCGTGGCTGCCCGTGAGGTCCAATGGAGCCGTCCAGCACTCCGGGCTTGCTTCCGTCCCTGCTTCCTTCCCCCTGATAAATACAGCCATGCACCTGCTTTCAAGAGCAGGACCAGCCTCCCCCTCTTCCTTCCTCTAGGACAAATGCCCTCTTCACAGTAATACATCCCTCCTGCCCCAAACCTGCCCCTTGGACCTTTTCCTCTCTCCCAAGTGACTCCCACCTCTCTCCCTGCAGCTGGGACCTCAGGTGGCTCTGGGACCATAGGCTCTCTGCTCTGCAAGGTTTCCAAAACCTCAAGCGAGGGGGCAATTCCCTGACCAGGAGGTGCTGCTCACCCCCATGAACTTGTGGGGCTGCAGCTGATGTAACTTCAGCCCTCGTGCTGTTCTCCTGGCCCCTCTCCTTTGGCTCCAGACTGCTGAGGGTGGGAGGACCCCATCTCGCCTCTAAGTATTTTGGCTCCATCTCTCCTGGATGTAAATTCTGGCCATGAGTTGTCTTTGGGATCTTTGCTATTCAGCCAAGCCCCCTAACTTTTGGATTTCTGCCCATTTTTGCTGGGATTTCTGTTGAAAGTTTCTTTCTGGCTTGGCATTTGCTGTTGGGAGTTGCATCTACTCTGCAGACCTCCACCACCCGCTCATGGGATAAAATATCCTCCTGAGGATATTTTGCGGTTTCCTGCATCCCTTGGGGAGGAGCATGGACACTGGTGCCCACCGGGTCCCTGGGATGGAGGACAGCAGCATTGCTCAGCCCTTGTTGGGACTTGGGATATCTGTGATGTGCAAGCAGGGGCCATCCAGCATTAGGGATGACAAAAGACTTTACTTGAACCTGCTGGAGCCAGTAATGGGGCTGGTTTGCCAGTGGCCAGGAAAAGTCTGCTGGACTACTTGAGCCAGATCCGGATTTTAGGACTGTGACTTTGACCTGGGACTATCTGCAGTGACTGCGAGAGATTCACCCGTGAGCAGGGCAAGGTTGATGTGGAAAAGGCTCATCCCTCAGGTCCTGGGGTGGATCCACACAAACAGTCAAGCTTTTGGATTATGGCTGTTGTACTGAATTAGCTGATGGTTGGTGGTGGGAAGAAGCTGTACAGAGGAATTTGACAGCCCATGATTCTCTCCTGCCCAGGAGCCAAGCATGCTTCACCCCAAGGTTTTACCCTTTCTGAAGAAAAATGCTGCAGGTGTGAGACACCTCAGCCATCTTATGTTGTAGTGGGTGCCAAGCACGGGTGAATCCTGCGTGTCCTTGGTGTGTCCTTCTCCTGTCACCTGGTTCATGACCGGCCCTTCAGCCATGTCCCACAGGGATAGGCATGAAAGTGAGAGGCTGCTGGGGTATACAAGCTCTGATTCCCTTTGGCTTCAGCCAAAAGTGATCCACTAGTGGCTGCTGCCTGATGCTGTGGGACCTTCAATGTCGTCTTTGAATGATGCTGCAGGTGCCAAACAGTTTCTATTGCACCTGCACCAAAGCAACTGCACAGAGAGAGGGAGAAAAGGAGAGCAAATGCCTTGTGGCTGTCTGC